CAGTTGCCGGGGAGCAGCCGGGGATCGAACCGGCGCTGCAGAGGCTGCGGGCAGCTTCACAACCCAGCGCTCAACCGCTGAGCCACCGGGGAGGCCCTTTATTTTCTTATGTTGTTCATTTTTGTACAATATTTTATTTCTCCCCTCAGATGTAGTCCCCATAATTCTCATACCCCCATATCCCCGTGAACCATCACCATAGTCCCTTTCTCTTTCCGCCTCTGTTTTGGCCCCTCTTCCTACCCCTCCCCTGCTGTATGCCTCAGATCCATAGTTTGCCTGCAAGTGTTGCCTTTTTCTTGACCTTTGTTCAATTTCCCTATATTCAGTTTTTCACCCTTAAGAATGGTGTTAGCTGTGGGTTTGAACACCAGACAACTCTTAAGGTTTATTTATGGAGACTTCCAAAGTCACAATCATGCTAAAAAAAAAAGGGGGGGGTCTCTTTGAGTCCAAGTTCTAAATCTTTGTTACCCATTACTTAAAAAGATAAGTGTAAATAAGAGAAAGTACTTGGAGTTTTGCCTGGCCCAGAGAGAGATGCAACAAATTCTTCTGGTTTTGCTCAGAAAAGTGCAAAGATCATCCACTGGCCATCAGGTTTGTGTGTTTTTTTTTTTAAATATTTAAAGATCATCGTGTATTTTATCCTTCATTTTGTTAATTTGATTTATCATCTATCTATGTTGAGTCATCCTTGCATCTCTGAATAGATCTGACTTGATCATGGTGTCTGATATTTTAATGTATTATTTATGAATTCATTTTGCTAATATTTTGTTGAGGAGTTTTGCATTTATGTTCATCATAAATATTGGATTGTAATTTCTTTTTTTTGTGTGTGATGTCCTTATCTAGTTTTGGTATAAGTCTATGCATGACTCATAAGAGTTGTTAGGGAGTGTTTCCTTTATATTCTATTTTTTCAACAATTTGAGAAAGATGCATATTAGTTCTTTGAATTGTTTAAATATTCATCAGTGAAACTATCTGATCATGAAATGCTGGTCTTTGATAGCTTTTTATTTTACTTTTTTTCAGTTTCTTTACTTGTGTCTCATCAGATTTTCTGTTTAAGATTTCATTCTTGTGAAGCTTGACTACTACCTCACACCATGCACAATATCCAACTCAAAATAGATTAAAGAACTAGACATAAGACCTGAAACCATAAAATATAAAGAAGGAAATATAGGTGAAACACTACATGACATACACTTTGGTAACATCTTTAAAGACTCATCACCCAAAGCAGTGATAGTGAAGGCAAAGATAAATAGCTGGGACTACATCAAATTAAAAAGCTTATGTACAGCAAAAGAGACAGTAACCAAAACAGACACCCCACTGACTGGGAGAAAATTTTTGCACACAACACTAATGATAAAGGACTGATCACAGAAATCTACAAAGAGCTGAAGTGTCTCAACAAAAACAAAACCAATAATCCAGTCAAAAAATGGACAGAAGAGCTAAAAAGAAACTAGCTACAACAAATGTTGGCGAAGATGTGGAGGAAAAGCAACACTCCTGCACTGCTTGGTGGGAGTGCAAATTGATCCAACCACTATGGAAAGCTGTGTGGAGATTCCTCAACCTGCTAAAGAGGGAGCTTCCATATGACCCAGCAATTCCACTCCTAGGTATTTACCCAAAGGACACAGAAACATTAATTCAAAAGGGCACCTGCACCCCTGTTTATAGCATCACTACTTACAATAGCTAAGCTATGGAAACAACCCAAATGCCCAAAAATAGATGATTGGATCAAGAAGATGTGGTACATATGCACAATGGAATACTATTCAGGGATCAAAAAGAAACTCATGCAATTTGCAACAACATGGATGGAGCTGGAAGGGATCATGCTCAACAAAATAAGCCAGAAAGAAAAAGAAAAATACTGGATGGTCTCACTCATAGCAGGAATTTAGGAAACCTAAATAAGGGACCAAGAAAAAGACTAATTATAATAAAGATCAAAATCAACAAGCAACTATAAACCAGAGATACACTATGGGGTGGGGGAGGAGGGATTAGGATCAAAATAAGGGGGAGGGGGTGGGAATTATATGGGGACTATAACAGATGAAAATGCATACATTGTACAAAAATGAAAAATGGTGTAAAAAATATATAAAATAAAAAGGAAAGGAATTTTAAAAAAGAAAAAAAAATTCATTCTTGGAAGATTGTGCAGTTCAAGAAATTAAGTCATTTCTAGGTGGTCCAACTTGTTAGTATAAATGTGTTGATACTGGTGTCTTATGATTCCTTGTATTTCACTTTTGATTATTTATTTGGTTCTTTTCTCTTTTTTAAATTAATGTGTCAAATCAAAGTCTTGTCAATTGTGTTTACTTTTTCAAAAGTCAGCTTTTCTTCTCATTTTTTATATCCAAACGGGCAGGTTTATTATAAAATGGAAGGGATGAGTAAAGGAGGTTTGCACAGACAAGCAGGCAGAATAAGCTGCCCCCAAAAGGGACAAGTTTGTTAAAAGAGAGACCTGATGGTCATAGGCGGGCAGCCGTGGGAGCAGAGCTGCCTCTGCTGCTTTGCAAAGGGAGGAGGTTGGTGAAGGGACACACCTGCATGGTCACAGGCTGGCAGGAAGGTTGCTGCCTGGTTGATATTTTGTATTCCTTTTGGTTTTTATCTCATTTTTTCCACTCTGACTTTTGTTATTTCCTTTCTTTCACTGACTTTGCCCATATTTTTATCTTCCTTTTTCTTACTCTGTAAATGTAAGGTTACATGGTTTAATATCAATAATTCCACATTGACTTTCAAGTTTTTATATAGTACATCATTGTTCATTTTTAAACAATATTTGCTTCCCCCCACCCCCTCAGGTCCACATTAATTTTCTACCTGAACTATCTATCCATTGATGTAAGTGGGGTGTCAAAACTCCCTACTTTATTTTATGCTATCTATTGTATTTCTCCCTTTAGAACTGTTAATATTTGACTTTTATATTTTGTTGCTCCTATGTTGGGTATGTACATATTATCACTGTTATATCTTCTTAATAAATTGACCTGTTCATCTTTTTGTTTTATTGCAGTCTGTTTGAAAGTCTATTTTGTCCTATATGAGTATAGGCATACCAGCTTTCCTTTTAGCTGCATTTGCACAGAATGTTTTTCTATCCCTTCATTTTCAGTGTTGTCTCTTATCCCATAAAATTTGGTCTTATTTTTATACATTCAGCCATTCCATGTCTTTTGATTTTAGAGTTTAGTCCATTTACATTTAAGGTGATGATATGTTTGTTGTCATTGCGATTTTACTAGTTGATTTCTTTTTGTTTCCAAGTTCCTCTCTGTGTCCCTTATATAATTTCCTTGACTAATTGTATTATCTTTAATTACTTTTACTACATTGGTCTTTTAATCTTCATTCTACTTTTTAGGTGATTGGTCCACTACTTTTAATATGAATATCTAATATGAGTAACAAAATTGAATAGTGAGGAATACAATGACCCCCTCCTCCTTTGGCCAACTTCTCATCCAAAATATCTATAAGAATCTCATGTCACCCTCAACCTCTAAACTGTGCTTGAACAGTAGATGCAGCACTGAATGAAGATGATAGTTGAAATAGTCATAGTCAGAAATTCTCTGCCTTTTGAGTACTGAGCTTTACCACAGGGCACATGTTCCTGTTAAAATCCAGGTACCTCAAGCTGATTAATGAGAGAATTTGGTTATCATCTAGGCTTTAGCCCCAGGTAGGAATAAGGCAGATCTTTTACATACCACAATTACAGGCTCAAATAATAGCCTCTTGTGTAAGGAAACACAAGTGATTCAGTCTGGCTCTCCCTGCCAAACAGACTCTAACTGTTCTTTTAGGAGCCACAGGCTGAACTAGATAATGACACTACATGGCTCTATTATTTCTTTAGTCACATACCCTCTGTCCTACATACCAATTCTGTGCACTCCTCTCAAGTATAGTTTCATGATTTTAAAGTCCTCAATATGGTCATGAGCCCTTGAGTTAACAACAGTAGAGACCTCCATATGACAGCTGCCCTCACCTTGTGGGTTATACCACCTCAAGTGGTTCCAAACACAGTTCAATTAATATTTCCTACCTCTTCAATCATGCTGCCACTTTTGATGTATACAGTAGTCATCTGTTCATATCTTTGCTTGGGGGTAATTTGGTTGCATATATGAGGATCAGTTGAGCCCATCATCTTTCCAAACCTCTGGAGGAATGATTTTACGAGACAACTTATGTTGCAGTTTGAGGAATCATTAGGTGTAAGACTTGTGCCAGCAATAGGGTCATGCATTTGCACTGCTTGCACTTGACCTATAAAGTCCTGTGATTCTCATTTAAGACCCACATTGTATGTATGTGAGGGTTAAAAAGTACCAACAGTAAAGATATTAAAAATTGTCAGGTGGCTCTTACTGCTACAATTAATAGACTAGACAACTTGAACTCTTCCGAGTTGGTGGGTGGCCATTGTAACTGGTCGATTACAGAGACTAGATGGGTACTTCTGGTGACCAAAACTTAATATCAATCATTAAAATTTGGATAAGGACTTTCCTTTCTGGAAAGAAAGAATATAATTAGGTTACATGAAGTCAGTCCTCCCATGGGGGGAAAAAATGAAAGCCAGATAAAGTAAAAAATTATTTTAAAAACCTGGGATCTCTGAAAACAATAAGAACTAGATTAAGCAAAATTCCAGAGGGAAGAGCCCTTTTTAGTTGAATTCTCTTTGGTTTTCTTTCTTGGGTACATTTGCCAATTCTGGGTTTATTGTGATTTTGAAATTTAGGGCAGGAGACTAAAGAACTACAGTCAACCATGCTGGTATTAAGAATTAAATACCTCCATTTTAAGAGCTAAGAGATATCTACATGTTTGTGAATAAACTTAATGAGCAATTGTTTTATAAACACCTTGTGTCTTTACCAAGTGAGTTAAAGAAACACAAATAAATAGGTGTACAGTATTTCTAGATGTTAATAGTAATACTATTGGTTTTTTAATTGCTTTTCAAGTATGAAGAATATTTAATGTAATTCCAACAAAATTCATTCCGGCCATTTATAAATTTATTTTAGAAATTGTCATGCCCTTGACTAAAGAAAAGTAGTCAGTAGAATAATATCTCATTATACATGAGTCAACTCTAAATACAATTACTTAGAACATGATAATATCTATTTTAATCAGAAATAAAGTGATAGATTATTCAACACATGATGTTGCCTCGATTTGTTATTTTTGGAAAAGCACTATATTTTCACAACAGAAGTATAATATCCTGATTAAAAAAATGAAATATGAAAATGTTTGGGTTAATGATATACCAATGTAAAACATAAAATCTAAAAACTTTAAAAGAAAAGTTGATTATTTCATTGTGCAAAAAAATTAAAATATTATACATGAACAAAAAACAAGGGCAGTTTTTAAAAATTGAAAAGGCTTCCATTTCAACATAGCAAATTGCACATGTGATGATCTCCCATTTTGCTCAAGACTCAGAATAATAAGTAAAATCCTATTTAATCAGAAATCACAGATAGCAAATGATGTTAAGGACTGCTACATTAATATTTATTAATAACTGATGTTTTCTAATAATGATGCAATGATAATCAAGGATGAAAGTGTATAAGAAAAGTATATGCTTCTGAAAGTGCTTTCATAGTATTTTTTTTGTGTGTGCTAAGTTTAGAATTCTATTCTTCATTTGTCTCCCAGACGAACTCCAAGGGAAAATCTTTCATTTTCTTTTGGAAAATCTTGTCAAACCTTTCATTCTGTTCCACAGTCATGTGGGTTTTCCAGTCTCCAACAGTGCCTGGTAAGTGAAGCAAAGAAATTATTTCATGGAAAGGGATAGGAGTGGAGGAACATGATAACTTAGTGTTAAGAGAAATATCATTTTTCACATTTTTTTTTAGGAGTATCTAAGTTACCAGTTACTCCTCTGCAAAGCTCTGACCCTCACTCTCTAACTTTAGGCAGCTGATAAACTATTCATTACAATTATATTAAATTAGGTACAAATTAATCCACCCTCCTAACTATCAGCTGGATGGGAGAAATACAAAATAATTACAATACAGTAACTATTTTTGTTCCAGGCTATCACTGGTTATTGCATTGTAGAGTCTTTAAAAATCCATTGGATCAGGTATCACTGAGCTACTATTTATTAGGAGAATTTGGATGCTGAGGAGAATTTTGAAAATTGACCACAGATCATACAGTTCATAATACAGAGCTGAAATTTCTCCATATTTACCAAGTTGGGATATGAGACAGGCTTCAACAACATATATAGAGTTAGAGAGTGGTGATGACAAAGAGCAGCTTGTAGGAAGAAAGTCAAGAAAAGAACAGTTAATTTCAAAATAGTCTGATCTGAAAATAAATAACTGAAATGAACAAAAATACTAAAATGCTAAATAAACAAGCAAAAACTTAGTCCAAAAGTGGCAAAAAGAATACAAATGATGTTCAGATAGATAACATCAAAGAGAGCAGTGTATACGTCTGCAAAAGCAAAATATGGTACAGGCTTCATTTTTCACAAAGACATTTTTCTAGCTCCCATTTTTTTTATTAGTCATTTCAGTATCTCATTTTGAGGGTTTTCTAAAGGCACAGGAACATAAGACATTTCCTTTTTTTTTCAACCAAAAACAAAATGCAAGTGCAACTATTTTGTTTTGTGCCCAAAGGTAGTAGCATCTGGAACACAATAGGGTGTGCTGGGGCTAAAGGTATAGGGCGTGGCTCCTCTTTGTGTTGGCTCAGACTTAGAAGTGCTTCATACATTTTAAGAGACAGGGGAAAGATATACCTAAGAGATAAAGGGGAAGAAATGCTACCTTAGAGGAATCAAAGTCGGTATTTCTTGCCACTCGAAAGAGAGGCCTAGAACATTACAAGTGCAAAATCTGTATAATTTTATATTACATGCTTTCCAGATGCTAATTAGAAAATCATAAGATATAATTTAGAATGATTATATAAAATAATAAAAACATTTTAACCTGTTCAACAGTAACAGTTGTATGAAGAATTAATTCTAAAAATGCACTGACCATTACTTAGCTACTACTTCAAGTTCTATAATGTGAGTCTGGTTTAATAAAAAGACATACAATTTTCCCTCCCAATAATGAAAGAGCAGCTGATCTGAGATCTCAATTTAGTCCTGGGGGATATTCAAGAGAAATCACAAGGATGTAAAAGCAGGTAATGATGGCCAACAGATTCATCATTATTACTTCAGCATCAGATGCTGTGGCCAAAATAATGAAGGGAAAGAGTCTAACACTGAGTGAACATCCATTTTGTGGCAGACACTGTGCCAGGCCTTTGCAGTTTTTCAGGGCCTATGTAGCAGGTCTTTTGATTTTAGGTTTCTTATATCTTCAGGGACCAATTAATGTGGGTTCATGAAGAATACTGAGTAGAAATCATGGAAAACAAACTGTGTAGATAAGAGAGAAAGGTCATGAAGTTTCCATTTTTGGAAACTTGGGGGGTGGGGGGCAAGGCCAGAAGCTAAACTTTTGTCCACTTGTTCTACAATCCAAAACAATTCACTGCAGAACTTCACCTTTGCGGAGGAAGCGGCCTGCAGTTCTTTTAAAGTCAGGATTTTCATTCAATACATTTTCATAATTTGCTAGTGGGTCATTCTTCATGTTCTGAAATGTGGCCTGTCTCACAACAGTGTCCACAGCTTCCTCACTCAGTTCTTTCCCCAGAAATTTGCAGATTTTTTTCACAGAACTTTTGAGATCCTGAAATGAATTGAGAATGTAGTAAATTACACAAATTATAAGAAAAAAAGCATAGAAATGTCACAACCAAATATCATGATAGAAGTGGAAGATGTAGGTGCTTTGGCTGGTTATAAATTCAAAATTGAACACTGAGCAATGCCTTTGTTATTTCTTCTTGGTAAATTAATCTTTCGTTTGTCTTCTGTTTTAGTGCTTATTTTGGTTCACTTCAAAGGTTCTCATAATTCATTTAATCTGTGTTCATTGGCAAATGTCTGAGGAGCAGCTGCTCTGTGTTGGACACTGCCCTGGGGGCTGGTGGAAGTGAACAGAGGGATGACAATGAGATCTGTGCTCAGAATTGATTATCAAGACCTACAGGGAGAGGATAATTGTTTAAGAGAATTCAGAGAGTCTCAATAAAAAGACAAATTTATTCTGAGACTTAAAGGAAAAATAGGAATTTTCTAGGTAGATAAAACTAGAAATAGTCTAGATAAAAGAAACAGTCTATCCTATACTGCAGTTGCATGGAATGGCGAGATGTTGGATCACAGCAAAGCTATAAGTTGAGCATTTCCGGGGTTAGTGGGAACAAGCCCAGGATAAGAAAAACAGGAGACATGACTGGAGGTACTGGAGTGGGTCCTCCTGTAAAGCGGATTACGAAAGCAGCCTCATCTTTGAAACTCTCCCTCTAAGGTGGCTCAACAGCAAAGTCTAAGCTTATTATCATGATTTAGAGGCAGATTTTAAGTAAAGCTAGTTGTGAATATTTAGCAGGTGGCAGCCATCATTCAGTGCCTGCATTTCAGCCCTAAGACTCCTTTCTTGCTGAAGGCTCCCTGGTGGTGTTCTAATAGCAGTACCTATTCCCATTCCAATTTATCCTAGTTGATCTAAGATCCTTGTGGAAATCTCATTCTCTGGGACAGATTAGTCTCAGGTGGTCATATGACCCAAATTTTCTCATTGAAAAAAATTAATCAACCATGCAAGAGAAAAAGCCCTTTTGTTCTAGCTTCCTTCTTTCTGCTGTAGATATTATTAGATGAGAATGTGAATGTGGATCCAATGACAACTATCTTGAATTTATGAAAGAAGTATCACTGTCATACAAATAAAAGATAAAAAATGCTTTTAACTTTCAGGTAACCCTTGAATTGCTATAGCCAGGCTCAGAATAGCCTACTTCTGGATTTCAGTTAATAAACAATAGAGGCTCTTATGTTTTAAACCACTTATATTGACTGTTACTTGGAACTGGACTTTTCTAGTAATACGCAGATATTTTCTTTCTTTCGTTTTGAAAGATTGATTTATTTTTATACAAGAACTAGGGTACAGGCCAGAGGTGCAGGAGGGTGAGAGAATTCACCAGAGACGGAGCGAGGAGCAGATCAGACAGATGGGCTGAAGACACTGCTGAGGGGAGCAGCAGGCGAGACAGGAGAGGTCTACAGCACCATATGGGTATCTCCCTGGCTGGCTGGGAATCAAACCGATGCTGTAGAGGCTGTGGATAGCTTCACAGCGCTGCGCTCAACCTGCTGTGCCACTGGGGAGGCCCCTACACAGATACTTTCATTTACCATATCATGCAATGCTTAACACAAGTCAGACAAGGTTAAATTTCCCAAGAAATGCTTCCCAGTGTGTGAACATAAAATCTAGAAAATCAGAGGGTGAATAATATATGAAGCAGAATCAATAACACATAACTGAATGGATAGTAGTCTGGTTCAAAAATGAAACATATATGGGACCACATTCAGACAGATAATCCCTCACACACATGATTTTTTTTTAAAAGAAATGTTATGGTATTAACTGTAAATGAAAACCTTGTAAACAAAATACATAAGATAGAGGGGAAAAGTCTCATAGTACACTTAATCATGGATCTCAAATTTCATATTGTTCTTAGGTGTTCTAGACAAGAACAACTGATACGTTAGGCTTAGGTTAAATCACAAACGTAATCTCATCTTACCTTCTTCATCTCCTCATACATCATGAAATGAATATTAAAATAATTCTTGTGCTCATACCAACCTTTGATATGATCAAACCAAAGACTTCCTAACACTGTGGGAAGAACAGATAGGTATTTAGGTAAAATTGTTGAAAAAGCTGAAAATTAATTTATACTCTTATTACGAGATGCAAGAAAATAATTAGTAACAAAAGAAGGAAAATGAAGTCTGTTGCTCAACCATAGATTTTCCTTTTCACATGGCATCAGAGAATCATCCCGCAGCCAAGAGGAATCAATGACATAAATACAAAGAGAAATTGACCTCTTATAAGTATATTTGTATAAACAGAAACACACCTTAAAGTCAATTAGGAAGAAAACAAAATGAAGAACAAACAAAAGAGCAAAGCCTCTCCTTCCTGCAAGCCCCACTATCCACCAGACACACACAGCTATTTCCCCTCTCCATTGACCACTGCAGCGTCCTTGACGAACTTGCATAGCGTACTATAACCTAAACTTTGACCTCCAGTGTAGAGATCATCTCTATCTCAACAGATCTTGTTCTTGCTCAAGTTGCACCAGCTCCTCAGAAAAGAATGTGGAACAGACTTCATCCAACAGAAGTTTCTGGGAGGCACCATTTACAGCATGCAGTACCATAACACCCAACCTACTGTGATCTGAACTGTGTTCCTTTCGCAGTTGAGCTGGAACAGAAACCTCTATGCAAGTGTATCACTAATCTCCTCTGCTGTTTAAATCTAAATATCTCCTGGCCATATGATATTAGGATCTAGACAATCTCCTGAGAGTGAGCAAAAGAGAGCAGAATGTGCATGAACATGGCAGAACATGGTCATCCAAGATAACCCTAACAATTTACTACTGACCACCCCCCTACTATTCTATTCTTTTCACTCTCTCAAATTCACTAAGCTTAAAAACTCACTTCAGGACAGCAAATATTAAAACGTGGTTTATAAGTTCAGTTACCTTTTCCCTCTAGAAATAGTTTCATGAATTCCTCAAATGTGGCTGTAGATTTAAAAGTTGACAACATGTTTGAAAAATGAAAATAGGAGCACATAACATCCTTGGGGTTTCTGTATACATAAATAATCTGGAAAGAAAGAAAGAAATTATTGTTTCTTATGTTTACATCCTATCATATTTCCACCTGAATACATTTCAGTTTTATGAAAGCCTGTTATTATTTTAAACTTTCACAATTTCTTAACCATGCTGTGTACAGGCTCAACTCTCCCCGTTGTATTTCAGGGTTCCCCTTTCCTGCAATGCCTTTCTTCCATGCCTGCTAGTGATTATCAATTACTCTTCAAGGCACAACTCAGAAGTTACTGAGTTACTTCTTAACTCCTCCAGGCAGAGAGAGCAACTTCATTCTTTTGCACCTACAAAAACTAGCTAATACATGTTAAAATGCTTCAAAATCTATAAAGTTACTTACTAAAATATTTTCAAGTCATGCTATAAAATTAAAGTGTGTTTTTTATCATCCTCGGGTGTATAGTTTACATATTCTTTTTTAAAAAAAATCTTCATAGAAAAAAGTATGTGTCCAGCACACAGAATTTATTTCTTATGTTTTTTATATTTCATAAGAAATATTAAATAATTCAAATATATCAGAAAAAAAATCAATATCTGTCCCAATCCACATTTAAGTGCCTTTTTCAGTGTCTGTACAGAGTATTCAGGTGCACTGGTTAAAATGCAGATATGATACCTGAAATGATGTATATCTTTTCTTACTCATCTTGGTAAATATACAAATTAAGTAAAGGAAACTTCCATCCACCTGCCACCTCCCTGGGCGCTCCTTAGAGCCAAGCCTGAAAACTGAGAGATGATTTGATGGATGCTGCTTGTTTCTGAGGATGTCCTTATCCCCAGTGACCTCTACTTCACTGAGGAAAATCTTTCAACCATGGGACTTGACAGTTGTCAGCAAATGAATTTTCTGATTTAAAAGTCATTAACTTCGAGTGGAATGTTGACATTTGTAAAGAGAAAACTAAGATCAAAATTCTTTTTGGAAAATGAGAAAGCAAAAATATTAGAGAAGTAGATTTTGAGAATTATGGCCATAAATTTAAAAACCAGGCACAACTTTTAAGTGCTTGGGTTTCCCCTCCACCCCTATCACTATCATATTGTGGAAAATAGGTAGAAAGCATATTTTGTATTTAACCAGTTAGTGTTACCAGTTGATTATAACAGATGAATGGAACAAGGGAATTTAAACAAAAGGGACTAAAGGCTAAAGTATGGAGTTTATAAGGGGTAAATGAGAAAAATGAGGATCCTTGAGGGTGATGAAAAATAGTGAAGAAGTGTAGGGTGAAGGAACTTGAAATTTCAACAATGACGAAAATCACTGGAATGAGACCACCAGAACAAGTGCAGGAAGAATAGGAGGCAGCAGTCATATAACATGATGTTTAAAGTCACAATTCAAGTTAAGACAATTGCTGGTGACTCCTTTATTCATTCATTCAAATCTACCACCTGCCAGCCACTGTTCTAAAAACTTAAAAACAACAGTGCACAAATCTTTACTTCTCTCATGGGTTTTGCTGGTCAAAAAGATAGAAAATAAATAAATATTATATCAGAGGGCAAAGGTGTTATAAAGTCAGGTTTATAACAAGTGGATACAGGAGAAGGTGACTGTATTTGGTAGAGGAAAAGATTACAGGAGTTGAAGTCAACAGTGAGAGGCCTGAGAGCTCTTGGACCTAGGAGAGGCAAGATAGAGCCGGAGGGGTAAATTTGAAGGAGGTCAGCCCTACATTTGCACAATGTTTGCCTCAACATTGTTTGGCCCTGCCAGAACTTTGAAATAATCCCATGAGTCACAAGAGTAGGAGAGAAGAAGTAAACGAGCCAAGTGCTGAATTTATCAATGGAGAGAGGTGATTAATCCAGGGAGAGATAGGACAGAGGGAGAGAGAATCATTCTGCAGAGATGAGTGATTTGTTATGCAATTCCTTGAGCTTCAAAAGAACTAAGTACTTTGGGGAATAAAGGGACAAAAGAGGTTGGAGGTGCAAAGGGAAGCATGGAAGTCACTGGGAGTGAAAGAGGTAAAGAATTGCTAGTTTTATAGATATACATATATGTAATTACTGCTAATTTTATATATATTACTAATTTCAAAATACTATTCCTTCCTTTTAAAATTAATTACATTGCTTATACATTTAGAAAAAATAAAAAGTGAAAAATAATTTCCAAATATTATGAAATAAGAATTCAAATGGATACTGAAAATTAACATAAAACAGCCATTATTAACAGAGGATGAGTGTAGGATTAAAGTAATATAATAAAATGAAATAATTTTAAATTGCAATTATCTTCCAGCAGTCATAGTTTTTCTGTATCTTACTTTGGCTTTTTTGTTCTTCAGTCCTCTGGGAACCAAATAGTAGGGGAGGTGGGAAGAGAATAAACGAGGTGATGGTCTTTCATCAAAATTCATTTTTCGAAAATTGTACTCAAGAAAAGGAGCTCGATCAATTGTTTCCACATTATCTGTTCCTTTGCAGTGTTCCTCAAAATAAATCAAGCTTAATAACTGTTGAGACCAGATGGTTCCTATAAAAAATAATTTTGTTTTCAATATTAAGGATTTCTCAAAAATGTACATAGATAGATATGCCATCAGTTTTTAAATCTTGTGAGGGTTATTATTATACTAGAAATAATGACAGATTTGTTTGGATGGACTTGTTTTTATAAAGTGGAGTTTGGGTACAAGGCAACAAATACTGATTTATTTTTCCTTTTAAAAACATAGCCAATTGGCTATTATGTGTAGAAAAACCCTAAAGACTCCTCCTAAAGTCTTCTAATAAACATATTCAGTAAAATAGCAGAATACAAAATCAATGAAAAAAAATTAATAAGTTGGGTTTCTATACATGAAAAATGAACTAAAAGAAAGAAGTTAGGGAATGGTCCTACTTAAAATTACATCAAAATGACTAAAATATCTAGGAATAAGTCAAGCATTAGTCACATTGGACTATCAACAGGAAAAGAGCAGGCATAGGGTAGGACGGTACCAGGCCCTGAAGCAAGATCTTGGGATTGAAGTGAGAGAAAAATAGCCCCCCTATCCTTTCCCATGCAGATTAGCATTTTGCTTTAATTGCACACCCATTTTAAGACAAACTGGAAATGTCTGAAGATTATTACATACAAGGTAAATAGCATAAGTTAAATTCCCCCTTCTTGTGAACTTAGTCATCAATTTAAATATATATCTCAAGTACTTGCCCATATGGTGAATATTCTTGCTTCCTTTCCTAGCTCATCTCAGAAACTCAGTGTTTGATAGATTGTTCCTCCATCTAAAAAGCATCAATATTTTGACCCTTTTACTGGCCAAAATCAGAAATAACTTTAAGCTGCATGACGAAAGATCTTATTTCATAAGATTATTAAATTTGGTTAACATTATAACATCTAATAGACTAAGAGTATAAAGTCTATATGTAATACTATTAAAAAGACTGAGTCCCCATACTGTAGAAGTACTATTTTATTTATTAGATTAACTACTGAAATAGATAATTTACCAGATTTGGGGTATGTAATTATGAAGACATCATCATCTCTGACTTCAAAATCATCCAAATTTTCTAAAAAGTCGACATCAAGTGTCTCACGTCCAAAATAAAATCCTTTAAATTTTAACAGAAATGTGTCCATGTCATCCATAATTCTGTTGCTGCAAAAGACACAAAGTGTTTGATAGAAAGTTAGTAGACATTTTTAAAATTGAATTTATTTTCTTACATGGTTATTAATTTTTGGACACTTTTTGATTTCTTCCCTCAGGTGTAGCCCCTTTTGCTCTCCCACCCCCATAGCACTTGTGATCCAGTGCCATCATCCTTTGTGTTCTTCCCTCCCCAGTTTTGACTCCTTTCTCTCCCCCTCACCTGCTGTGTGCCTCAGATCTCCTCCTCAGCTTACACACCATACAACTGATGAGGGACTGATATCAGAGATCTACAAAGAACTTACACAACTTAAAAAAAAAAACCCAAAGCTAACAACTCAATCAGAAAATGAGCAGAATTGTTAAGACACTTCTCCAAAGAAGAAATGCAAGTGGCCAACAGGCATATGAAAATATGTTCAACATCACTTAGTATCAGGGAAATGCCAATTAAAACCACAATAAAATACTACCTCACACCTGTGAGAATGGCCCATTTTAGAATTTTATATATTTTCCCCTTCTGTTTCTTTCAAGTGGGTGAAATATTGAGAAAATAATGTGATTCATTTCTTCCACAAATACTTATGACCTACTGACCCTGAAAGCTCTTATCACAGATTCCAGGTGTGGCACATTTGCCCCAAAGTCTGGGAACCTGCTGTTTTCTTTGTTTTATGTGTGTGTGCCTCATTATGTAGGTACAGGGAAAATGATTGAAAAGAAGTAATTGCAATTAAAGTTTCTGTGTCATTTGGGTAACTACTTAGGAGCGGAATTGCTGGATCATATGGAAGCTCTGTGTTTAGTAGGTCAAGAAATCTCCACACAGCTCTCCATAGTGGTTGGACCAGTTTGCGTTCCCACCAGCAGTGCAGGAGAGTTCCTTTTTCTTCACAATCTCACCAACATTTGTTGTTGCTAGTTTTTTTTAATATGTGCCATTCTCAGTGGTGTAAGATGGTATCTCATTGTAGTTTTGATTTGCATTTCCCTGATTACAAGTGATGTTGAACATTTTTTCATATGCCTGTTGGCCATTTGCATTTCCTCTTTGGAGAAGTTTCTTTTTAGCTCTTCTGCCCATTTTTTGACTGGATTATTTTCTTTGTTTTTGTTGAGTCTCATCAGCTCTTTGTAGATTTTTGTGATCAGTCCTTTATCATTAATGTTGTGTTCAAAAATTTTCTCCCAGCCGGTAGGGTTTCTTTTTGTTTTGGTTATTGTCTCTTTTGCTGTGCAGAAGCTTTTTAATTAGATGTAGTCCCAGCTATTTATCTTTGCCTTCACTATCACTGCTTTGGGTGATGTGTCTGTAAAGATGTTTTTGAGGTGAATGTCATGTAGTGTTTCACCTTTATTTCCTTCTATATATTTTATGGTTTCAGGTCTAATGTCTAGTTCTTTAATCCATTTTAGTTGGTTTTTGTGCATGGTGTGAGGTATTAGTCAAGCTTCATTCTTTTGCATGTAGTGACCCAGTTTTCCCAGCACTATTTATTGAACAAACTTTCTTTGCTCCAGTGCATATTCTTTGCTCCTTTGTCAAAGATTAGTGGGCCATAAATCTGTGGGTTTATTTTTGGGTTTTCTATTCAGTTTCATTGGTCCTTGTGTCTGTTCTTGTCTCAATACCATGCAGTTTTGATGATTATGGCTTTGTAGTATAGTTTGAAATCTGGGCATATGATGCCTCCATTCCCTTCTTTTTTTTTTCAGGAGAGCTTTGGCTATTCGGGGTTTTTGGTGGCTCCATATGAATTTCATCAATATTTGTTCTATTTCTTTGAAGAATGTCACTGAAATTTTTATTGGAATAGCATTGAATTTGTAAATTGCTTTTGAAGGATGGCCATTTTGATAATGTTTATTCTTCCAATCCATGAGCAGGGGATGTAGTTTCTTCTTCTATTTTTTTTTTTTAAAGATTTATGTATTTATACAAGAACCGGGGTACAGGCCAGACGCGTGGGAGGGTGAGAAGATTCAGAGACAGAGTGGGGAACAGAACAGGCAGACTGATGAAATACACTGTTGAGGGGAGCAGCGGGTGAGACAGAAGAAGTCTGCTCGCCATGTGGGACCCTTGCCAGCTGTACAGGATTGAACCGACACTGGAGAGGCTGCGGACAGCTTCACAGTGCAACGCTCAACTGCCTATGCCACCAGGGGTGGCCCACTTCTATTTCTTTTAACAATGTTTAATAGTTTTCTTTGTATGGGTCCTTTACCTCTTTTTAGGTTTAGTCCTAAGTATTTGATTTTTTTTTGTTTCAATAATAAAAGGGATGGTTTTCTTCATTTCTTCTTCTTCATGTTTATTGTTTATGTATAGGAGGGCTACTGATTTTTGCATGTTGATTTTGTATCCTGCCACTTTACTAAACTGATTGATTAATTAGTTTTTCTGTGGAGTTTTTGGGGTTCTCTATGTGTATTATCAAATCATCTGTGACTAATGCTAGTTTGACTTCTTCCTTCCCTGTTTGGATTCCTTGTATGTCTTTCTCTTGTCTTATTGATCTGGCTAGGACTTCTCCAGTATTATATTGAAAAGCAGTGGTGAGAGTGGACACCCTTAACTTGCTCTAGATCTTAATGGAAATGCTTTTAGCTTTTCACCATTGAGAACGATATTGGCTGTGGGCTTGTTATATATGGCCTTTATGATGTTGAGATATGTTCCTTGTATCCTGAGAATTTCAAGGGCCTTTATCATAAATGGGTGTTGTACTTTGTCGAAAGCTTTCTCAGCATCTATTGATATTATCATATGGTTTTTACTTTTCTTTTTGTTGATATGTTGGATTACATTGATTGATTTTTGGATGTTGAGCCATTCTTATGTCCCTGGAATAAATCCTACTTGGTTGTGGTGAATTATCTTATGGATACATTGTTGGATTCTGATAGCTAAAATTTTATTGAGGATTTTTGCATGAGTGTTCATTAGAGAGATTGGCCTGTAGTTTTCCTTTTTTGTGTTGTCCTTGTTCAGTTTTGGTATTAGTGTAATGTTGGCTTCATAGAACATGTTTGGTATTGTCCCTTCCTTCTCAATTTTTTTAAAAGAGTTTGTGAAGGATAGGCACTAATTCATTTCTGAATGTTTGGTAAAATTCATTTGTAAATCCATCTGGTCCTGGGCTTTTGTTTTGGGGGAGGTTTTTGATTACCATTTCAATTTCACTTCTTGTTTTTTTTTTTTATACACTTTTTTTTTTTTTTTTAAGATTTGTTTATTTATTTATTTATACAAGCACTGGGTACAGTCAGAAGCAGGGAAGGGTGAAAAAATTCACCAGAGCCAGAGCGGGGAGCAGAGCAGGCAGGACCGAAGTACACTGCTGAGGGGAGCAGCGGGCGGCAGGAGAGGTCTGCGCGCCATGTGGGACCCTCCTCCGGTGGCCGGGGAGGAGCCGGGGATCGAACCGGCGCTGCAGAGGCTGCGGGCAGCTTCGCAACCCCCAGCGCTCAACCGCTGTGCCACCAGGGAGGCCCTCAATTTCCCTTCTTGTAATTGGTCTGTATAGGTGTTCTATTTCTTCTTTATCTAGCTTTGGGTGATTGTAGACTTGTAGGAATTTGTCCCTCTCTTCTAGATTGTTGAGCTTGTTTGCATATAACTGCTTGTAGCAGTTTCTGATTATTCTTTTGATTTCTGCTGTGTCTGTTGTGATTTCTCCTCTTTCATTTGTGATCCTATTTATTTGTGCTTTCTCCCATTTTTCCTTTGTGAGCCTGGCTAGGGGTTTGTCTATTTTATTTATTTTTTTGAAGAATCAACTTTTGTTTTCATTGATCTTTTGGATTGTTTTCTTAGTTTCATTTCTGCTTTGATTTTTATTATTTCTTTTCTTCCACTCGTTGTAGGTTTTTTTGTTGTTGTTGTTGTTATTTTTCTAGTTCTTTGAGCTGTGAGATTAGGTTGTTTCTTTGAGTTCTTTCTTATTTCTTGATGTGAGCCTCTATTGCTGTATATTTCCCTCTTATTACTGCTTTTGCTTCATCCCATACATTTAGGAAATTGGTGTCCTGCTTGTCATTTAACTCAAAGTATTTTTTAATTTCTTCTTTGATCTCCTCCTTAGTCCAGTGATCTTCCAGTAGTGTGGGTTTCAATCTCCATGAGGTAGGATAGTTTCTTGCCTTCTTTTATAGTTTATTTCTGGTTTGATGCCTTCATGGTCAGAAAAGATGGTTGGTATGATTTCAATCTTGGTGTATCTGTTGATGTTTGTCTTGAGTCCCAGTATGTGATCGATCCTGGAGAATGATCCATGTGCTCTTGAGAAAAATGTGTACTCAGATTTTTTTGGGTTTAGTGTTCTATAGATGTCTGTTAAGCCTATGAGCTCTAGCTCCTTATTTAGGGCTTTAGTGTCCTTGCTTATTTTTTGTCTCATTGATCTATCCATTGTTGATAGTGGCATGTTGAAGTCTCCTACTACATATGTGTTTTCTCTGATGTCTGTTTTCAGAGATAATAATAGTTGTCTGATATATTTTGGTGCTCCTTCATTTGGTGAGTATATGTTAATGAGAATTATTTCTTCTTGAAGTATTGTCTCCTTATCATAATGCAGTGACCATTTGGGTCTCTTTTTATCTTTTTGAGTTTGAAATCTGTTTTATATGATATAAGTATGGCTGTTCCTGCCTTCTTTTTTGATCCATTTGCTTGTAGGATTGTTTTCCATCCTTTTACTTTCAGTCTATTTTTATCTCTTGTAGTTAAGTGAGTTTCCTGGGTATAGCAAAAGGTTGGGTTTTGTTTCTTAATCCAGCCTGCAACTCTGTGTCTTTTTATTGAAGAGTTTAGTCCGTTTACATTTAGAGTTAATATTGATACGTTAGTGTCTGTATTTGCCATTTTGTTTGTCTTTTCTCTGGTTTTATTTATTTTTTTTACTTGTTTTTGGGGGGGTCTTGTTTCATTCTTATTCATTCCTCTGTTGTTTCTGGCTTTAGGACTCCTTGTAGTGTGTTTTGGAGTGGGGGTTTAGTCATAATGAAATTTCAGAGTTTCTGTTTGTCTGGGAAGGTCCTTATTCTTTCTTCATAGAAGTAGGAAATCTTTGCAGGATAAAGGATTCTTGGCTGGCATTTGTTGTCTTAGAGTCTGTTGACTCTGTCCCTCCACTCTCTCCTTGCCCGTAGTGTTTCTTCAGAGAAGTCTGATGTCAGCCTGATTGGTTTTCCTTTGTATATTATCTGTTTCTTCCCTCTTGTCAGCTTCATTATTTTTGCCTTGTCTTGGATTCTTGGGAGCTTTACTATTACGTGTCTTGCTCCATTTTTCCTTTCATCATGGAAGTTTGGTGTTCTTCTCTCTTCTTGTATGTCTATTTTCAGCTCCTTCTTCATGTTTGGGAAGTTCTCTTCAATTATTTCTTTGAACAATGTCTCTGTTCCTATATCTCTCCTCTCCTTCTGGGATTCCTTTAACTCTTATATTTCCTTTCCCCATGGAGTCAGATAGTTCCCGAAGTCTTTCTTCATTTTGTTTCTGTCGTACTTCTCTTTCCTTTTTGTTTTGGTTCTTTTTATTTCTGTGTCTTTGAGAGTACTTATTCATTCTTCCATTTCATCTGTTCTGCCTTTTCTGCTTTTCCCAGAGTTCTTTAGCTCCTCCGCTAATCCTTTGATCTCCTGCATTTCTTTTACTGCCCTCTTTAGGGACTCAGTTACATTCTTCTGATAGTTGATTATTTTTCCCATATCATTTTTGACTTCTTTCAGTTTTTTAATCATGGCAATTTTAAATTCTCTTTCTGGAAGGCTCAGAAGTTCTTCCAAGTCACTGTTGTTGCAATCTGGTGGGTGATTTTCTTTTTGTGGTGTGTCTGTTCCCTGAGGACTCGCTTGATTGCTTGTAGTGTTTCTTCTCCCTGCTGCTTGTTTTCTAATTTGTCCTATGCATTGGGACACTGTATCTCTGGTACTGGCTGGCATCTTTTTGGTGCGCTCTTTTGGGATGTCAGAAACTGGTAGTCCAATTGAGTCAAAAACTGTTATGCCAGAAGTCCAGTAAGGCAGTGGTACTCTGAATATGTTAGTGGTCGCTGTCACAGAAAATCTCCTCCTTCTGTATTTGTTTAATTCCAAGGTGGGTCTTGTGATCCCACAGACTGCCCTGTGATAGCAGGATCCCCCTCTGGGCTCCGACTGGTGGCCAGATGGGCCTGGCTTGTGAGAGCTTTTCCGCTTACATCTGGCTGTGTGGGCAGCCCTTTCCCAGCTCCAGGCAGTCTAGGTGGGTTCCTCCAGATTCAACAGGTCCCTGATCTAAAATGTCAAGTTGGAAGGGCACTTCCCTGCACTTGCAGTCTGCCTCAGTGGAGACTGGATTCCCCTCTCGTGAGTCATCATTTATGTAAACATTTTGTCTTTCATTCTTTTCTGTTACTAGCCATATTAAAAAAAAAAAAATCTATTCATCACCTGAGTTATAAATTATAACAAAAAGAGGAAACAAGCAATTTTTAGGATACATTTTGACAATCACACTGTAACTGGAAAACCCGGGTTTGACACAACAAATCAAAAACAAATAGATAATTATAAACCAGAGATATCCTGCAAGGGAGGAGAGGGAGAGGGACCACAGGGAGGAAGGGAGGAACACAGGGGACTGAGGTGATAGTGTACTGGTGCATTGGTGAAGGAAATAGGGGGGAGGAGGAAGCAAACATTGTTTAAAAATGAACAATGATGTAAAAAATATATTAAAAAAATAAAGGAAAAAAAAGAAAACCCAGGTTTGATAGCCTCTCTTAAAATATTAGATTTATGAAAAGTAAAAATTATTTGGAAACATCATATATTTGGTTACCTTGGCTGAAATATTTTAAGAGATGCATCTGGGACAGAGCTTGATCATGGTCTGGATGACCCTTACATAGATCAAATGGTTTATATGATCCTTGGTGTAGAGAAATGGACACAGCAAGCTATAAGGGGATTCAAATATCCCACATCTGAGCTTCTAGAACATTGTAAATTGGACTGGAAGGAATATTGGATCTATGACATATGTAAACTTACACATGGAATGTTGGGGCTCATGATACAGAAGATATAGAATGTAGACTTACAATTCAAATGGTAAAGAATCACAATCTGTTCAAATGATCCATGCAGGCTATTTTTAAATTCTTCACATTCCATGAAATGCAACAAAAATGAGGGAATTTGTCTTTAACACTAGGTAATCAGGAGGAGCAAGAACATTCATAGCTCACGGAAATGGAATAGAAATTAAAAATACTTTTTGGAAATAACAGGGGGAATGTGAGTATACTTTTAAAAATTGGACAAAATAATAGATTAAAAATATTTGTGGTAGCCAAAAGATATTGCTTCTGAGTACAGCAATTGAGCTTAATTATGAGGGAGATTTCATGAAGAGATTAGGGCTGCTTGTGTAGATTTCTGGGAACATTATAATATTAAGAAACATTACTTTTCTTCTAGTATTTTACTATTCTAATAGAGAATAAAGAAATAAAGTAAGAAGATAAAGACGGACATATTATGAATGGGCTCTGTTTCCTGAGAAGATAAAAAGTTTGGAAAGATATGGAAAAATTTAGTTGAAAATAAAAAGGAATAGAATAAAAAAAATCATGGTAGACATAATAGTTCATTTAACTATTACACAGAATATAAATTCTACTATCTTTTATCCTACTTATACTAGGACCTAGTATAAATACTGCTATCATGAGAATTAAACTTTCTGTTTGTATGTATTTTAAAAATCTTGAAATAAATATTTTGGAACTATGTTGTAACTAGATTTATTGAAAAGCAAAATAGTTACAATATATCCTGGCCTCATGTTTAACAGATACAGACTTGTAATACATAATATATGTAATGTAAAATATATGTTAAATATATTTAACCTAGTATTTAGAAAATCACAAACTAAAACTACAGTAATACAGATAAAAAAGAAAGTACTCACCGTGGAAGTTAGCTGAAATGAAGAATTAGCTTCTCATACAAATACGAGTGAATAATTATTTTGCTACTGACAGGGGAAGATACAGATAGAGACTGAATATTCCACAAAGAAATTTTCAGATTGACCAATTAGCAGTGCTCCCAGAATCAGTGATTATTCAAAAGGATTAGAATGATATGGAGATCTCACAAGGAACCAGTGAAAAAGCCTGATCCATTTACCATAAATACCAGACCAGCTCAAAGCTACAAAGAACTGAGGGTAAGTTTCAAAATCTCTGCTTTGGAATAACTTCCAAAAATAAGGATGCTGTCTTTATGACCTATGTATGCCATAGATCACAAATACAAAGGATTGAGTTGCTTTTACTTCAATAACACTATAATTGAGGCCTTTAAATCCTTCTGTTGTTTTTTATAAAACAGAATTGAGGATGGGTATAATGTGAAAAACTGAGAAAATTAGAGAGAAAAGTCATAGGTCAAGTAGTAGATATGGCTACTTTAAAGAAGCAGGCATTTCCCCAAATTCAATAATACATTTGATACAAATGTTCATTTAAATACAAACCACCATTGTCTGCTGCAGGGGGCCTTGCTGTCCCAACCAGATAAGACAGCTGGCAAGCAGCTAAGAATAGGGCCTCACATCGTGTGGGCGCAAGGCTTTTAAAGAGTCTCACACCGTGGGGCTGAAGATTAATTAATTAATAATTAATTAATTAATTTCAGGACCATAAAGGGAAAGATATAAGCATAGCCTCTCCCATTTGCCAATAACACATCAGGGCCTTTCCATGTTCCGGAAAGGAGATCTTTCCACATAACTTGAGGTTTAGGGTCCAGTTGGTCAGGATCCCAATGTTTATTAATTGGTGACATCCCTTGAGAATTACAATTTAAATAATTGATGACAAACATAGCATGAGTTAAAATATGATGAGCCGAACTATGTTTAAAATCAGATTGTTGTAGTTTACTTATCTGAGACTTTAAAGTCTGGTGAGCTCTTTCAACAATAGCTTGCCCTTGTGGATTATAAGGAATTCCTGTAGAATGTGCAATTTGAAACGAAGTACAAAATTTTTTAAAGGCAGAGGATGTATATGCAGGAGTATTGTCAGTTTTAATAGCACGAGGTTTGCCAGCGTAGGCAAAACAAAACATTAGGTGTTGAGAGACATCTTTAAAAGTCCCTTTTGCCACAAAACACCGGTTGGTGTGTGTGAGGTGGCCAAAATTATGAACTCCCAAGGCTTAGTATAATCTAGCCACAACAGTTGTTGATTGTTGAGTGCATCATTGACCTTTTGTGAGGCTAGTGTAGCCTCAGGTGTTAATTGCCTAGGGGAGTTAGGATTAGAATTACCTTTTAACACATCAAACAGTGGACATAAATCAGCAGTGGTTAGCTGCAGATGAGCTCTTATCCAATTTATGTCTCCTAGTAGTTTTTGAAAATCATTTAATGTCTGTAAAGAGTCTGTTCGTAGCTTCAGTTTTTGTGATGTCACAGTTAAAGAACGAACAATCCTTCCTAAATAATTAATTGGCGGAGAAGTTTGAATTTTTTCTGGTGCCACTGCAACAGGGTGGTCCCCAGGAAAGGGGGAGGTTCCCTGCCCCACCCAAGGGAGGGTGGAGCTGAGCAGGAAGGGGAGAAGCTGAAGAAGAGACTGAGGAAGGAAGCAGGATGGAGCCAGAAGGAGACCTGGAGGAGGCGCATGGAGCCTAGAGACACGTAAAGAAACTGTGCTTGTCTTTTGGTCGTGGACTGGGTGACACAGATGTGGGTGAGACCCATGGGGAGGTGACAATGGCAGTTTTTATCTTGATGTTGATTTTGCTCTTTTCCTTCCGGGCTTGTCTGGTTATTTCTGACCCTTTGCTGTGGGTCCCCACTGGAAGATGCTTTAGACTTGTGGCAGGCTTTGGGGCTTTGCTCTGGGCCGATCCCATATGGATGGACTTTTACCCACGAGGGGACGGGTAACTTTGGGTGCTTCATTTAGAAACTAGACTCTTTGCCTTACCTGTATTGTTTCCTAGTTTTATTAAAGTTCCTTCCCATTAAAGTCTCCTATGTTTTGTGTTGATGCGGCGGATGGCAGAACCCATTTAGAATAGGCAGGTTTGCGGGGTTTGGGCTACCCCTCTCCCTGTCCTATAACAGATTTGGCGTCCAATGTGATTTAGGACAGAGCCATCCGTGGTTAGTCAGCCCCATGGGGAAATTGGGCTTCCCTATGGCACTGGCTACCATAAGCGCAAATGCGATTTTGGTTTCTCCAGTGTGTTTGTTTCATATAACAGATTTGCTGTTGAAAAACTGGCTTGGGCTTTGTGAAGATTCTGTGTGTTTGTGTGTAATTTGTTTGTAGTGACTTACTAAGAGATTTTAATTTGTGGAAATTGTTCTGTGCCAGTTTTACTCAAAAGATTAGGCAGTACATTGGACCATGTGGTCAGATCAAAGATGGCGTCTGAGGCCACTTGGAGTGCTCTTGTAAAATTCAGAGGTTCTTGTTGCTAGGACTTTGGAACTTTTTTTTTCTTTCTTTTTATAATCTCTGCTGTCTCATTAGCATTTCTAAAGGCAATAATGGTTCTTCGTTAATATGTTGCTTTGTCTTTGACTACTTCCTGCCCTGTGTCTGACCGGTTTTGCAAGCCAACTGTGGAGCAGTGGTGTTTTAATTAGCAAATGTATGCCTGGGTGTTAAGGAAAGAGTAGCCTTAAGCAGTAACTGGTAATCGCTGGTATCCTTGATGGATTCTTGGAGATAACTTGAATTTTTGCAAAGTCTGGATCAGAAAAATTAACAAGATTTTGTCTGAGTCTGAAAGGATTTGCTGCTGTGAATTTTGTCTACACAATTTGTTTTGGGCATGTTTGCCATTTTGAATCCTGAATTTGTTCAATTGCTGGTGTAAGACAAGATTCTAAGTTTCTGCTTCCTACTGAGGAAGGTCTGTTATGGAAAGCACTCTTTAGGGTGCATCATGTAACTGTACCAGGTTTTCATACCTGTGTTTTTGTTGTCCCTCCCTAGTGTGGGGGAGGTGTAATCTGTGCTTAGATGTTTAATCTGCTCTTTCAGCTTCTGTCCCAGAGTGGCTTACAGAAGTAAGGAGATGATTCCTTTTAATTGAAAGTTAATTACTGATATTTTGATTTTGCTTTTTCGGGTTCTATTCCAGGAAACCCAAGGAGTGCCTGCTTGGTGGCTAACAAGAGATGACTCCTTTTGCTTAAAAGTTAACTGTTACTTTTATTCTTTCAGTTGCTGTACAGAATACCCCAGGATTGACTTCTAATAAAAAGTCTTCAACACTGAAAACCCTAAGGTGATAAACAAGGTCATGTAATTCTTGTGATTAATAAAACTTTTCCTTCCTATTTCCAAAGTCTTAGGTTTGCAGGATGACAACTGGAATTTTTTCTGCCAGCAACACTCCACATTTTTTTTGGACTTTGATATTTTTTTTCTGAGCCTATGGAGTAAAACTGCAGTTACATAACATATTCTACGTGGCATAACTAAAAAAAAAACTGTCTTTGTCTATACGTTGTATGTCTGTATGTCCTTGTGTCTAACTGTCTTGACCTCCAGTGATCGACAAATTGGTATACATGGTGCCCATAGACGTTGAAAAAAAAGTCTCCAGTTATGATAAAAACAAAAAAGTTATGGTTTGATTGTCAACATTGTGCTACTGAACTAAGCCGGTGCCTTCATAGAGATTGAATATTGTTGTTTCTGCTAATTTTCTGATATTTATGGCAAAGCTTCCCAGAAATCTAAATTCAAGTACAAATTTGGTAGCCTGTCATTTGACTGATGCAAGGAAATTTTGTGGAACCTCAGTAGAGCTCCTGAGACACTCCACGAAGTTTCTCCCTTTCCTCCTGGGAAGGCATTAGATGAATTTGTTCTATTTGGCTTTTACCTAATGGAGTAAAACTGGAAGGGAAGCATTGTCACTTGGGAAAATGGTAAAACTTTGGTATGTACAAAATGTTAACAGTAGTTTTCTAAAATGTGTATGAAAAAACCTCTCAGTATCTGGTATGTATGTAAATTGTCAATGGTGATTGTCACCTTGTAATATTGTATAATTCAATTGTTTCACATCTACAGAAATTGTTTCTGGAAATATAGGGAGAAAAGGTCTCAACAGATTCCTATTGATGGAACTGTTGAGAGTAAAAAACTTTCCTACAAAGGACTAAATAGACCTGGAAATACACCTGACATTTACAAGTTTTCTTTGACATAATACTGGTAATTTTTTTATGCATTTTGTCCTGAATCCACAAAGTTTTGTTTTGTTTTGAGTAACCAGGATCTGCAGCAATTTTTTTCCAGCAAAGCTAACTTGTCACATTTTCTCTCCCCTTGATACCAACACAGCATACAAATAGTGGTAGTAATTTTTGCTACTTTTTTCAGAGTCTGTTTTTGCATAACTTCCATAGGGATTTTGTCTGTTTTAACAAAAAAATTGGACGTGAGTTTGATTGTGTGGCTTTGTGTGGAGTTCTTCCAGAAAGTTGAAAAAGAGCTGAACCAAGAAGAGGAGAACCTGTTTGCCTTGTTTGTAGGGTTCCAGAGACCTCCAAAGAAGGTGAGGAAGCTTGCCTCCATTGGCAGGACTGGACAACCCGGCCAACGAAAATGCCCTGGTACCCTCGAGAAGAGGAAAGCCCAGGTGGAGTCTGATGAGACCAATTTTATACCTGAAGCATACATCGACTGGATGCCACCGGTTCACTCTGATCCTGTATGGAGTATTTCAACAAAGCCAGCTAAAAATTGCTGTTAGTTATTTTCTGCCCTGTAATTTTATGCAAAAATAAGAAAAATGATTTAAAAGTAGATTTAGTTTGCAAACTTTTGCTATGCTGTTAAAAGTTTGGGATCAAGGTTGAGAAAATTTGTGTTTTACATCAGTTGAACCATTTTAAGATTTTTTTTTCCTGTGATTTTTACATATTTGCTGTCTTGTTTTAGCTAACGCTCCAATTTTTTTTCTTTTGGCTTGGATAATGGACTATTTTCAAGTAATGAAAAATTGTCATACTGGACATTCATGGACAATGCTGCTGACTAATTGTTGCTTCTCTTACACACATTGTAACCCTAAAAAAAGACTGTCTCCTAAGACTACACCCTAACATTTGTGCCACCATAGATAAGGTGGAATAAAAATTAAAAGGGGGGATTGCAACAGGGTGGTCCCCAGGAAAGGGGGAGGTTCCCTGCCCCACCCAAGGGAGGGTGGAGCTGAGCAGGAAGGGGAGAAGCTGAAGAAGAGACTGAGGAAGGAAGCAGGATGGAGCCA